GGTACAGATGTTTAGGTTACGTGTGTTGCCCTTGGTTCCCCCCTCCAAGTCCGTGTTTCAAATATGTCCATCAAAATTTTCAAATTCAAATATGAAAGAAGGATAAACCAGCAAGACAATGCTTATCAAATACAGTAACACATATGAACAAAATAAAATCTGTTCCCTTCTAGAGGATTGGAACATATATAGAAATTTGGGGATGTTAAAAGCAATCTAATAAATTTATTATCTAATACTTAAATTCTATCCTTCTGGAATGATAGAATATCACCATTTATGTAAGCCCTAATTAATATATTTGGGCAAAGATAATCAATGGCTGCTAACATCACCAAAACAGATGACCAGTCATTATGGACATATATACAACACCAACTATAATGAAGCCCTACTAAATAAATAAATAAAACCTAAATCTAATCAAGTTTCTAGATTCAACAACCAATTTGCAGCTAATTTGGGGGACAGAGGAACATGGTAAATGACACCACAAAGATGCAACCAATGATGTCCAGACTATGAAAATTCTGTAAGTCCAGTTTCTTCACTGGGAAATTATAAGAAAACACAAAAAAGAATATGAGAATATATAGATAAAAGAAACTTAAAAATATGTCAACCAACCACAAGGTATGGATCTTTTTTTAGATCCTGATTCAAACAAACCATAAAACAAAACAAAGCAAAACATTTATGAGATAAACAGAGAAATAAGAACACTGAATATAATGACTGTTAATTTTTAAGGTATGATCATAGTATTAATATCATGGCTGTGTTAAAAATAAACTTTTAGAGATACATACTGAAATATTTACAGATAAAATGACATGATGATTGAGGTTTGTTTCAAAATAAGTGGTAGGGAAAAGACTCTGGGAGGGGTAGAAATCGTCCACAAATTGATAATTACTGAAGCTGAGTGATGGGTACATTTTGACTCCTTACACTAGTCTCTCTACTTCTGTATGTTTGAAATTTTCCATAACAAAAGATTTAAAAAATTCCACCTCTTTGGTCCCTCCTGATTTCTGTTGCTGAATCCTCTTCTTAAACCAAATCCTTAAATGTTGGTATTCAGCAGAGGTCTGCCTGCTTCCCTCTTTTCTTTTCAATCTTTAAGTCCTCATGATTAATCATAGCCATAGTCATGGCCTGGACTACCCTCTATATGCTGATAATTTCTTCAGCTACTTTCCTTCGATGTCTAGGACCTCTCCTGAACTTCACACTTGTATACCCCACTCTCTGCTGGGCCTCATGAACTGCATAAATCAAGGCACTTAAAGTTAAACAAATACTAATATAAATTGTTGGACAGCTTAACCACTACCCCACACTTCCCACAAAAAAATTCATCCAGTACAACTTTGGTCTATACACATACCAAGTGTGGGCTTTCCCTGCTACTAAAGTATACAAATTCAAGCCCTTTCAGGCTTTCCTGGTACATATACCATACCAAAACATTTTTTAAAAACATTGTTTGACAGTACAAGCCAGTTCTGGAGATCCTAGTTTATGAAAATGATCACCTACTCAATCCAGAAAAGGGGAATGAATACATGTGAAGAAAAAAATAAGATCTTTTTTAAGAAGACCACAATCTATATAAGATAGACATGCAAAAATCTATTAATTAGTCAATCACACAATTTTATCATTCATGCTATGTTTGAATATCTTTGCAGATGATTTTACACTCTGAGCAGGCCATTCTTTGGATTATGCTGATTCTTATATTGAATCCAAATATACATCCTTCTTACTTCTACCTTTTTATCTTAGCCATACCATTGAGAGTTGTACAATCAAAACTGTTGTCACAGAACTTTGTTGGTTTTATTCACTGCTGTATCCCAACACCTAAAACCTGGCACACCAGAAGTGCTCAATAAATATTTAAAAAAATAAATAATAGCTGTCATTTATGGAAGGCTTACTATGTGTCACACAGTATGCTAAGAGATTTTCAAGCACTATTTTATTCAATCCTGACAATAAATGTGAGGTTGTTATTATTATCATTATTTTAAACATAAGGAAATTGAGGCTTACAGAACCTCAGCAATTTGTCCCAGCTCACATAGCTAGTAAGTGCAGGATCAGAAATCAAACTCAGATCTGATTCCAAAGCCTTATTCCTAATCATAACATTTGCCCTTTCTCCATGCAATAGCCCTTTCCAACAAGCACGTTTAAAATGACTAGACATTTTACCAAAGACAGTTGATTTTTTTAAAAGCAGATCTCCATGTACTATCTAAATACAGTCATCCTTCTGTACCCTTGGTCCTCACCCTTGGGTTCAACCACTTGGATCAGAAGTACTGTATTTGAAAAAAATGGACAGTTGCATCTGTACTGATCATGTACACATGTTTTTATCTTGTCATTATGCCCTAAAACAATACAGTATAACAACTATTTACATAGCATTTACACTGTATTAGGTATTATAAGTAATCTAGAGATGATTTAAAGTGCATGGGAGGATGTGTGTAGGTTATATCTAAATACTACATCATTTTATATAACAGACCTAAGTATCCCAGATTTTGGTATCCCTCTCGGATCCTGGAACTAATCCCCATACCCCTCAAGGATACCGAGGGATGACTGTATGTGTAATATGGTAGACACTCAATAAATATCTGCTGAATAAGAATGTGCAATTGGAACAAATATTCCAAATGGTTTCAGAATTATCTGTACAATTTAGAAATGAAGACAATATATAAGTATCTTAAGAGTTTCTTAACAACTCTTAATTACTTTTGCTGATTTGAAGTCATTTCTCATCCAATCTTGATGTTTATACTGAAAGCAATAGAAACTGTGTTTCATTGAAGTGGGTCAGAGGTCCAGAATGACATGATTAGATTTCCATTGCGAAAAGATCACTATGACTGCAATGTGAAGAATTGGGTAGGAAAGGGATAGAAAACGTGTAGGGAGATCAGTAATGACATTAAACAGAAAAATGTGGATCAATTAGACAAGGGGTGTTGACAGTGAAGTGGATGAGTGGAGAGTGTCTGAGGTGTTTGGGACGGAAATGGTTGATAATAGGGAGGGCAGAAGGTGAGGAAAATGTCAAAATACCTCCTTAATTTCCAGCTTTGTGCAACTGAAAGGACAGTAAGAGACAGATCATACTGGAAGAGGGCCAGGTTTACGAGGCAATAAATATAAATTTGAACTCAAATGTGAGATATCCAATGGAAATGTTGAATGGGCAATTGGATAATTGGATTCTGGAAGGAAATATGGCAGAACAGAGGGTTAGATGAGAGATACATACATGGGAGTGTTAAGTGTATAAACAGTAATCAGAATCCTGGAACAATGCTCCTGGAGCTTTATCATTTTATCAGGTAGACTTAGATGTCTACTACCACTTGACCAACCCATGGCTTATAGTTAGATAAAAGCAAGAAGCACAAGAAAAGAAGATGCCGGGTAGATAGGAGGAATGGAGGAGCACCCAGGATGCATTCTCTTTCCGCATTACATCTTCTTTTCCTTTCTTGTTTTCCCTCTCCCTGAGATCTAACAATCCTGCTGTAGGGTCACCTGCTGAGAATTGGAAGTGGGAAAGAGGGAGTGTGCAGGGAGCAAGATACAGGGATAGCAGGGAAAGTTTGAAGCCTCAGCAGAGAATAGGTATGGCTACATGACATAAGCCTCAAAAGACTGCAGATTTTTTAAGATAGGAAAGTAAAGAAGAAGGAGGCAAAAAGGACATCAACTCCATTCACATCCAGATCCTAAGGAATGCAGAGTTAGAATAAATTCATTCCATTAGAGAGGACTGCTAGAGAAGCAGTGTTCCTTGGGAAGAGGTAAGTTTCCCTTGGGTCAAGTAGGTACAAGAAATGTTTAAAGAGTTATATTATAGGCCATCAGAGGCAAATTTCCTCATGTTCCTGCTATGATAGCTATGCATTCACTGCATATATTTACACCCAATAAATATTTGAAGAGGAGGAGTGCTGCAAAATGATTAAGAGTATTGCATAGAGATTAAGAACATGAATATTAAATATATACTATATATAAACAATATAAAATGTTTCTTTTCAAGAAGCATATAATCTAAAAGGGGAAAAATGACATAAATCTCTACAAAGACAAATAATTAAAGAGATAAACAGCTATCCAATAAAACAACATAAGCAATGGTACTAGCAGTACATATTTAATCGTTTGGTGATAAATTGAGCTCCTCTTTGATATCAGAAGGCTAGAGTTTAAGTCCTAGATTTTCCACTTACTTATAAGTAAGCCTCAATTTCCTCATTTGTAAAATGGGAATGATAATAACTAATCTCCTAGAGTTGTAGAGATAACCCAATGAAACAATATATAGAAAGTATTTGCATAATTAATTCCTGGCACATCATAAACACTCAATAAGTGAGGGCTTTACTATTATTAATGACAATAAAAGGAAATTCCTTTTATTGAGGTTGTATATTCTTTAAGATAAGGGCCATTAAAAAATTTGGAGGGGCTGGATGTGGTGGCTCACACCTGCAATCCCAGCACTTTTGCAAGCTGGCAGATCACTTGAGGCCAGGAGTTCGAGATCAATCTGGACAACAGAGCAAGACCCTATCTCTACAAAAAAAATTTTAAAAATAAAAAATTAGCCTGGAGTGCTGGTATGCAACTATAGTTCTTGCTACTTGGGAGGCTAAAGTAGAAGGATCACTTGAGCCCAGGAGTTCAAGGTTACAGTGAGCTATGATTGTGCCACTGCACTTCAGCCTGGGTGACAGAGAAAGACCATGTCTCTAAAAAAAAAGTTTTTTTGTTAAATTGTACAGTGTTCAGAAACATTGGTTGAAAGAATGTTACAGATGTTGTTGTTTCTCATTTCTCATAGAACTCTGTTAGCTTGGTAATGGTATATAAATTTTCTATCAGTTATTTAATACAGATTTTTAAAAATATTATTCACACTCTCTTTCCAAACTAGTTACCTCAAACTTTATGAATTATGAATAAATTGAGGACAAGGACAATGGCCCATTCATTTTTGTAGAACAAAAACCATCTTTCATGATCTTTTGTACAGTTAAACAACGACAATGAATTTGCTTGAAGGACAGAAACAGAGTGGCTGAATAATTATATGAATAGATCACTATGCATAAATTATAAAGAGACTGTAGTAGTTGATCACAAACTTAATCATCTGTCATTTTTGTTACTTCTATTCAAGGGAAAGATAGAAGTAGAATATCTACAAAAGTTCTAATCTAAGAGAGTTTTAAGTAAAGGGCTTTGTAGTTGACTGATATATGGGTTGTTTTTGAGTCCAGAGAGAAACAAAGATCATGAAAGAAATTTTGAATCTAGAAAAGTATGCCAATTTCATAACATAGTAACTTTAGGAATATATAAGCACTATAATTTTATTAATATTCACTGAGAGACATACATCTGAGAGAATGAATAGGAGGAACCTAATATGTCATGGAGAAGAGCAGCATGCCACTCTGTCTCGAAAAATAATCTGTCCCAAAGCCTAATGTAAGGGTGATGGTTGCTGCTGACCACTCCTTATTATAAATGTTTTTCTCTTTCTTCCTTAGCACCACAAATCTCTCTTGGTTCTTTTATTCTCTGCCTGTCTGACTGCTTTATGGGATAACCTTTGGTGTCCTTCTCTTCTTCCATCCATCCCATAAATGTAGGTGATGTCTTTTTACTCCACACATTCCCCAGGCAATTGCATCCAATTCTCTGGCTTCAACTACTGTTCATTTCCTAATGACTCGTAAGTCTTCATCTCCAGCTCAAATCTTTCTCAGGAGCTCCAAGTCCATTTAATCAATTATTATCACATATCTCTTTACAAATTCAACTTGGCTAAAATGCAACTCACTATCTTCCCTACCAAATCCACTAATGGTACCACCATCTCCCCAGTAACTGAAACCAGAAATTTGGGAGACATCCTAGACTCTCTTTTCTTCTTCATACTCAACTTCTAATCAGTCACAAGTTCAGAGAAGGCATAAATCTTTAATTGCAAACTACTCACAAATATAAATATGAATTAATTCTTCTGTGGAGTTAGGAAACTATTAAGTACAGTGGAAAATGTAATTTACTAAGTGATAGATGGAAGAATACATTAAGGTCAACCAGATTTTAGAGTTGATAAAAAGCATTTTTATTACCTTTCCCAGTTGTACAGATTAATATTGATCTGGATTGCTTGATAAACAAGGCCAGCCTGAAGAAGCACAACTTCAGCTTCCTGTATTTTTCCACTAAACATTAGTATGTGGGCCATTTTTGATTCTTTAGATGGAAGATTTTTTATAGAATTGATGTACTGAACCTTATCAATCTAAAACAGAAAAGAAAAATATTACAGTGGATAATAACAGAAATATAACAAATTATGGTTAAAAAAACCCCACACGTGTACATATAGGTAAACATTATTTACTTACTTCACCAATTGCTGCATAGGCTATTTCTGCAGTTGTCATATCTCGATTAGCAACTGCCATAGCAGCTAGGCAAGCCCACAAGGTTTGCTCCTAAAGTGAAATGTAAGAACAATTATCTCAACTACATGGCTGAATTGTCTTAAAATAAACAGTGATTTAAATACTCACAATAAAATAATATTTTAATTAAAAAAATAAAAAATAAGCATGGAACTGAAAAAACTAATAATTTAATAAATTAATAGTGTGGAAATGTCATTGTGGCCATTTTATTAAAATATATTAATAATACATAGTGAACTTCTTTTTGGAAAAAAATTTCTGAAAATTTTTATTTCTAGTTATCAAGAATCTATTTCTGAATTTAAAATAACTCAGGGTTATAAACCTTCCAATCTTTTTGACAAGGTATCAAAGAATGTAATTACAGAGAACCAGAGATTCTGAGATAATGTTATTATGGCAAATTGCCACCCATAACTTATTGTAAGAAAAAGCATCTAAAAGTCATTTCACAAATGTGTACTCTGAGGGATGTTAACTGATGTTCAATAAAAGAGGTCTATGGTCAAATATGTTTGGAAATAGTAGATTCAACCAAGTCGGGAAAGGCTGATCTAAAGCAGAGATTAACCTTAGCTGTACAAAAGAATTATCTGAGGAACTTAAAAATTATATCCAGGCCTCAACCCAGATCTAATGAATTAGAATCTCTGTGGGGGTAGAACTTGGGAACCTGACTTTCAAAAAAGTTTCACAGAAGATTTTGTTATTTACTAGTATGGAGAAGTACTACTGGTCTAAATTATAGCTTCTTCAGCGAATAACTCACATGGCAACATGTATCCATCTATATTGCTCATACGTTCACTTACAAAAGACATAGTCCTATTCACAATTTTTCTAGCCCTTAGCTATTGTCATTACTCATCTTTCACAAAAGTAAACTAATACACTAACACAACTATGAAAGTGAAACATAACTTACCTTAACAAAGCGACAAAGTCTTACAGCATCTTCCCATTTCAAACTGCTTATATACTCATGGAGAATAGCAGGATATGGTGATATGCTTATGTGAACCAGGGAGCCATCAGCTCTTCTTATAGTCACCTGGTTTCCAACAAAACTCACAATATGGGGATTTTTACTAAATTCACTGTTGAAAAAAAGCAAAATGCAATTTAAAGTTAGGTTCTGAACAAAATTTTTCATATATATTAAATTCGGGGAGTGGATCCCTGACATATATAGTCTCCAATCTCCAAAATGTATCCCCAAAAAAGTTAACTCAATGGAGAATGTATATATTCAAATAAACATGTGATTCTAACTTGCTACACATACTTGAAGAAAAATACACAGTTGGCAAAAATTATTACATATTTTTGGGAGCAATTCCTAAAAGCATCTGAAGTGACCTTTTTTCCCTGAGCCTTAAGATAAATCATGAAAATGATTAAATAACAGCTTTAGCTTTTAAAAGTATTAAAGAGTAAACTGATAAAAATTCAGATGAGGGCACAGGAAAGGGAAAAAAATTAAGCTGAATTCCAAGATTAATTTGTCATAATTAAAAAGAAGTAAACTTTAAATATACTAACTCCTTTTCGTTACTTTAAATACTTTTTAAAATAAGCTGTTTCATTTTAATGTTTCTATGGTTTTACTAAGGTTGTGAACTTGAATATTAAAAATGAACTCAAACCAGATTTGAAAGCTAAGCTAAGGTTTAGAGTCTTTGAATTCCTATTAATATTTTCTTAAGTGTAAGAGATCTTGCAATTTCTTTTTAGGAGAGTTTAGGAATGTATTATAAGTGTGTTTGGTTTACTGAAGCATACAAATTAAAAAAAAATTTCAGAAACGTTGGTTTTTTTCTACTTTTAACATCAACCAGAAAACTCAATTCTAGAGACACATACATTCTTGAAAGTCTCAAAGCCAATGATAATCTGTGATCGAGTAAAGAGTTGGATCATTATCACAGGGTTGTACATCCTGAAAAATCTTAAGAGCGCCTATATTAAAATCACTCAATTACATTGAAAAAACAACCTGAGCTAACGTTATACACTAAGCTTGAAAACAATATACACATAAAGGACAAATAAAGAGTTCACATTTTATAAATACTTGCAATGGATTTCCTCACTTAACTCTCATTAAGCTAGCTTTAGCTGAACAATTTATTTAGTTGAATCTGATTAAAGTGAAAGATACCTTAGAGGATTGAAAACAAAGGCAAAAACATGACACTGTATTAAAAGTTTTATTTACCACAATACAAAATTATATACAGTAAAATGTTACCTTGCATCCCTTTCATATAATGTTTTAGGCAAAATGTCTCTGTCTACATAAACCGTATTGGGGTAATACCACACTGTAAGTCGAGTATCTTGAAGTCCACAAAGGATATTGCAGGTATCACTCCATGCCAAAGTATGCACCATTGTTCCTTAATTTAAAAAGAATGTTAATGTGCTATTAGTTTCAATATAAAAGTTTAAAAAATATACTTTAAAAGCATTTGACAAGATTCTATCTATTTTCTGATAGGTGTGACTTTATTTCCTCATTGCATAGTGGTGAAAACAAATGCAAAAATTCACATAAGAATTTTTGGAAATATTTGAATTATATTTTAATTTGCCAGTCTTTCTTTCAATGCCAACTTAGCTGCAGCAGCTAAAGACTTGCTATTAGAGTGGAATTAGGTAGCTAAGAAATGTTGTGGGACCAAAGCATTTTCACGGATTCCTTCAAGCAAGTAAACTATTTAATATATGAAAGAGCAGATCTAAGAAAATTGACAATAATTAAAATGTAAAATGTGTCAAAATTATTTTACCGAGTTTGATAATTTGTTCTTCCTTCCCAAATCGTTTCACTGAGGTGATATAGAGGTCTCTATTTTTATCAATGAAAGCAACTTTTCTATCATTGGTAAGTCCTTTTTGATCCAGAGCAATTTCCAAGATTTCATTCTAAAATTTTAAAAAATGTAAATTCTGGGTTAGTTTTAGTGCTTGACATAAGATCACTTAAATTATTTGATTATAATGATATTTCTTTTGAATATCAATTAATATCATTCACCTACTTATAATGATAAATGTTCCTGTTAAATAATTTTAAACTGCCAACATACTAATAATTCAAAAGCTGCACTAAAGTGTAGATACTTTGTCTGAAATCCAAGAGGAAGAAGCTCCTTAAAATACAATAAAATAATGTATATTTTGATACTCTGTAAGCTGAGAAACATTCCCACCCGTCCTCCCGTTCTATCTTTAATAGACAGGGTAAAAGGGTGAGGCAAGTCTGAGTATCACACGAGAGGTCTATTTTGATTAGTAAGTTCCTCACACTAAAATTTATTCTAAATAGATTGCCTAACACCTATATTTAAAAGATTTATAAAAATAAATTCTTGAAATATGTGGAACTATATCGTGTGTTCAGAGCCTTAAATTTTACAGATACTTTCATATTCATTTCCTGTGAAATAGGAAACAAACTTGTGATGTAGGTATTTTAGTATACTTACTTTGCAAATCAGAAGACTGAGACCCATAGTCATTAAGTGATCTGCTCAGAAAAAGCTTGTAGCAAGCATATCTAAAACTTACTGTCCAGACTTCTGACTCCAAGATCACTGCTTTCTATCATACTCTAGTTACTGAGATGAATTTTTTTATAACTAGGAAATGGTTTCATATGGATTCATTTCAATTCAATTCAAGAGGGGTTTATTTACTGCCTTCTATGTCTGAAGACTTTGCTAGGAATTGTGAATTCAACAAGAATAATGATCACATCAAGGCGTTTTATCTAAGAGTACCATAAAGAACACCTTTTAAAACAAAACACAAATATGCCTTTATCCAAATTGATGAATCAGTCATATACCAGTTCATAACACATTCTACTAAGTGAAGTATCCCAAGAATGGAAAAACAAGCACCACACGTACTCACCATCAAATTGGTATTAACTGATCAACACATAAGTGCACATATAAGAGAATAACATTTATTGGATGTCAGGCGGGGGGTGGGGAGGAGGGGACGGGTATATGCATACACAAAGAACATGATGCGCACCATCCGAGGGATGGACATGCTTGAAGCTCGGACTTGGGGTGGGGGCAAGGGCAACATACGTAACCTAAACATCTGTACCCCCATAATATGCTGAAATAAAAAAAAATTAGCTCTTCTCTGGAATATTTCCTTAAAATATATATCTGAAGGAAGAAAAAAATGTTCCATGTATATGACGGTATGCATGAAATATAACTCCAGGTACTTTCAAAATGGAAACTTTTCAGAGAAACTAATCTTTAACATAAAGAACTGCTTATCATTACCATATCAAAACCTAGTATTTTTTTAAATACTCATATACAGACATGATTCTCCTCTCTAAGAAATTTGAAATCAAAGGCAGACAACAATGAAAATAATGCCTAGGTACATAAGGGAAGTGGGGTTTCCTTCTTCAGCAGGGTTTCCCCATTTTCCTCTTGTCCAGTTCTACTATCTCCACTTGTGATTTATTTCTCCTGGGTCACTCTTTCTAGTAGGATACAAAAGCAGTTTTGTGTTTATTAGAAACTTCTCCCTTGCCCTAATTAATATTCATTTAATAATACACAGACTCAGATTGGGCACAGTGGCTCACACCTGTAATCCCAGCACTTTGGGAGGCTGAGGTGGGAGGACTGCTTGAACCCAGGAGTTTGAGACCACCTTGAGCAACACAGAGACCCTGTCTCTACAAAATATAAAAAAATTAGCTGGGCACAGTAGCACACATCTGTAGCCTCAGCTACTCAGGAGGCTGAGGCGGCAGGGTTGCCTGAGCCCAGACATTTCAGGTTGCGGTGAGCTATGATCGTGCCAATGGACTTCAGCCTGGGTGACAGAGCAAGACCTCGTCTCTAAAATAAATAAATAAATAATAAATAGACTTGAGTTCTAGTTTGGCCTCTGTTATTATTTGGGAAAGTCTTGGGTCTTAATTTCTTCATATACAAACAAAATAGATTGTTTCTAGACATAGAAGGTGATTTTTCTATTATTCTATAGAATGTAAAATTTTTAAATCCTTGGTATTATATATATTCTTTATATTATATAAAAATGTACTGTGTAATTGAGTGAAGTGTGAGATATGGAATAAGTCACTTCCATTTGTATAATTAGGAAATTGTAAATTTCTTACCCTTTGGAAATTCTTACACTTAGGAAAAGTATTCTTGAGTTATTACATTAAAATAAATGTTTATTTAACCTTATTGAATGACTCATTTCAATCCTACTAAAAAATGACTGATTGCATCTTGAAAAGCTGAGAAACTTACTCCTTTTTATATGCTTAATCATACTAAAGAGGAAAAATTCTGCTTACATAGTCATGATTTAAAATGACTGCAATTGAGAGGTTGTAGGGAAACAGGCACCTCATATATTATTAGTGGGAAGGTAAACTGATACAATCTCTTTGGAAGATAACTTGAAAATACTTATTAAAATCACAAACACTCACATAGTTTGACCCAGCAACAACATTTCAAGAATTAATCCCACAGTTATATTAGCACATGTGCAAGAGGATTTATATGCAAGGTAATTCATCTTGGCAATATTGTAATAGCAAAAGTGAAGAAACACACCTTAAATGTGCACCATCTGGGCAAAGATTAAATACATTCTGATACATTTATAAAATATTATACTATACAGTGAAGGGAGAAGGGTTGGGAAAGCACTTTATGTACAGATATGGAAAGATTTCCAGAAATAAAATGTTGTATGAAAAGAGCAAGGTGCAGAGCTATATGTTACATTTTTATAAAAGAAGAGGAAAAGAACATGCATCAGATTTGTTTGTACATACACTAAAAAACTCTGAAGAATATATAAGAGATTAATAAGAGTGGTTACTTATTTTGGGGAGAGGAACTATATTGATGTTATAAGTGTGGAAGATTTTTTTACTGTATACTTTTTAATGTTTTTGATTTCTGAACCATATGAATGTATTTGTTATTCAAATTTAAAATGATTACAAAAAGAAGAAAATACAATTTAGAGTAATACTTCACCAGAAGTATTATGTTAAGCAATAAATTAAAAGTATCTTTAGACTCTAACATATCACTAATTTAGAAGAATGACTCAATACAATGTGCTCCTTTGTTTATTTTAAGGCCAAAAATTAGAAACCAATAATCAATTCACAATTCAGGGTCTTTTTGTGCTTCTATAGATAATAATTTTTTTTCAGTTTAACTATAGTCTTAAAACCTAAAGAAAATGATGGCTAAGGACAGGTCAATGAGAAAATTGCAAAAGATGTTTAGAAACATAAATACATTTTTATTTACTGATAGATGGTAAAAGTTTAATCAAAATAAAATGTCACTGAAAAGCAGTGAAGAGCTTAGTCAACAGATGCATTAGTCATATCCTTTTATCTAATTAATTTGCATACACATAGCTTTCTGTTACATGTTACCAGTGCTTAGTCTTTGTGATATTTTTTAGGCAAAATACTCTACGTAGAATGCACACTGATGTTAAATATAAAACTAATTTCTATGACTTCCTCTTTAAAATGAAAATACCAGTTTTAAAAAGGAAGTGAATAAATAGTGGCTATTTACATCAGAAACAGTTAATGTCCATTACCTTATGAGAAAGAAGCTTCCCATCACCTAATGGTTTTCCAGTTGATGCCTCAAAGAGGAAGATTACTTGAAAAAAAGGAAAATATTAATTAATGTTTTAAATTAGAATTTTTATTGGTAAATTTCAGTGAATTATCATAATCCTCATGAGAAATTGTTTAACTCTCTCGACTATAGATTATCTATCAGCACAGAAGACCAGCAGCAAGGAATTCCTATTTATTAATGGAGTCACATTTCTTATGAAAACAGTAGAACTAAACACTACTTCCTAAAATACATTCCCTATGTAAAATTGTTATTAATGGTATGGCATCATGCTCCATGGCTCAACAATGGTTAAGTCCAAATATGGATGTAATTTATAATTCTGATAACTTTGATTTAGACCAATTGCCCTCTGAAGGTTTGCTGAAAATCAATTGAAAAAAGGCAGATTAATAGGAAAAAAGGCATACAAATTTATTAACGTGCACGGAGGACATGCAATGGCCTGGGACAAAGTCTATTGGGCCTGAAGAACAGACAATAGTTGGTGACAAAAGTCTGTCTAGGTGTGTTGATAGACTTCAGTCTTTCTTCCTGCAATGTAAGTTCGATTAATGAAAACTCAGGGAAGGGACCAGAGATAATTGTTTTCTTGTTTGGTGGGTCCAAACTTTAGGCAGATAAGGGAACTTCGGAAAACAACTTCACCCTGTTCTTCGGGAGAAACAGGATTGACAGACAGTGGAGGTGAGTAGTGAGGCAGAGAGATCTTGAGGCTTCTTCTTTAGTTCGACATGTGAAAGCATCATATTTTGGAGTATCAGTTTCTGAGCCCCAACAATAGACAATCATATTCCACAAAGGAAAAATGTGTTGAGTGCCTACTATAATGCCAGGCAATGTGCTATGTTATGTGCTGTTCAGCTTTCTGTTGTTAATATACTACTGTAATATAATAAATAATTTGTTTGGTCTTTGTACTGGGTTCCTGGCAGGTAGCTTCAAAAACCCTTAGAATTTCCTGAATGACAGGTGTATTTTTATTATGCTAATGAGGAGACTCTTGGGCCCCTAGATAGCTTCAGGATTGGAGATGATCATCAGAAAGGCCAAGCATGTGATTAGAGGGTTGGACCTTTCAGGTCCCTGACCTTTGTAGATGGGAATCGGGCTGGAGATTGAGTTCAATTGTGCGGCCAATGATCTAATCAATCATGCCTATGTAATGAAATGCCATAAAAACTCTGGATGCCAAAGCTCAGTGGAGCTTCCTGGTTGGTGAACACACTGCTGCGCTGGAGGGACATACTGATGTCCTGATAGGAGAAGGCACAGAAGTTTTGTGTTCCTTCCCAGCCCTCAAACTATGTGTATCCTTTATAATAAAACTGTAATAATAAGTATAGCTTTCCTGAGTTCTGTGAGTCATTTTATCAAATTATCAAACTTGAGGGGGTCATGGGAATCCCCGAATTTGTAGCCGGTTGGTCAGAAAAGAAGGTGGCCTGGGGGCCCTCTGAGACTCATGACTGGCATCTGAAGAGAGGACAGTCTCGTGAAAAACTTTGCCCTTAAGCTTTGGGGTCTGTGCTAATTCCAGGTAGTGTCAGAAACGAATTGCAGTATACCCAGTTGAAATGAAAATGGAATAGTTGGTATAAGGAAACGTGGGGTTCGTTAGAATGACCCTGACTCAATGAAACATGGTTTGAGAAGGGAAGGGATGAAAGGGCAGGGGATGAAGAACTTTTGATTCCTCGGTGGCTACAGAGTCACCTACAGTATGAAATGGCAGCTATGTTGCAATCAGTTACTGGTGGTAAAAGTTACACGTGGAATTTAGAGACGATGAATACAACTCCAGTGGAATTGACTCACTAAATGCATATGAAAATGCAAAATAAAAGAGAAATATACAATTCTTTTGTTATTGCTCTCTATAATAGCTAAAATGAAAGTAAAAGATGGGCCAAGAAATGGCTAGTCTGAATTATTGCTCATAATTCTTTCTCACTCTAAAATTCTATAGATTATCCAAGGATTAAAAATAATGAAATATGTTCTAGATATGAATTAACTATAGAAAGTTCATAATAAGGTATATTCAGTTGGAAATACACACACAGTTATGCCTTGCTTAACAATGGGGATATGTTCTGAGAACTATGTCGTTAGGCAATTTGTCATTGTGTGATCATAGAGTATACTTACACAAACCTAGATGGTATACCTTACTAAACATCTAGGCTATACGGTGTAGCCTATTGCCCCTAGGCTACAAACCTGTGCAGGGTGTTACATAGGAATACTGTAGACAACTGTAACACAATGTATCTGTGTATTTAAACATACCTAAACATAGAAAAAGTAATACATTGCACTATGACATTATGACTGACTGCTATGATGTCACTAAGCAATAGGAATTTTCCAGCTCTGTTATAATCTTATGGGACCACTATCATATATGCAGTCAATTATTTGCTGAAACATTATATGGTACATTACTATACTTTATTAAAGCTTCTATCTAAAATATGTGGTATTGCAGTTCGGAGGCCGAGGCAGGAGGATCACTTGAGGCCAGGAGTTTGAGGCTGCAGTGAACTAAGATGATGCCACTGCACTCTAGCCAAAGCAACAAAGAGAGGCCCTGTCTCAAAATAAATAAATTTAAAAAATAAAAAAAAATAAAATTGGTATTGAATAAGAAAAGTATATATAACTCATAGTGATCACTGGGATTTTCAATCTTAAGTTTATGAAGAAAAAATCTGACTTCCAAATCATTACTATTAGCAATTACACAGTCATCTTGATTCTGTCTGCTATCTGGATACTATTTTATTTCATTCTCTTTCCCTATTTTTTTAGCCTAGAAGGAAGCCCTTTAAAAATAAAACAATTACCAAATGTCCTCTCTCAGAGAAGACCTAAGGCATGAAGACATAGAATAGCTCTGTTTATGAGAGTGATATTTCCTACTGGTATGAGATGTGATCCTATCTCAAAGTACTGAAAATTAAAAAGTAGGACACTGTTCTAGCTCCTGAATTAGGTCTTCCATGGTGTGAACTAACAAAATTAACACTCGAGTCAGATTTTTTGGTTAACAGTAATGTACAATGTTTCACAATGTGTACTAACAGAGAGAAACAATTATTTACAATTTAATTATTTTTTACTAGGCTTCAAGGATCACTCATTCTCTCAGTTATCCTCTTATCTCACTGGCTTCTCCTCCTCTTACACATCTTTAAATACTGATGTGCTCAGTCTTTGGTCCCCTTCTCTGTCTACACTCACTTCCCAAGTGATTTCATTCAGTGCCATGGCTTTAAGCACTAGCAGTATGCCAATGACTTCCAAATTTATATCTCTGGGCCCAACCCCGCTCCTGAGTCCTGGACTCATTTGTCCTGTTGTTTATTCTCATCCCTGCTTGGATGTCTAAAAGCATTTAAACATACCATGACCAAAATCAAACTCTGGGTTTGCAGATCCTCTCCAAATATCCTCCTTCCCTGTCTTCCATCTCATTTATCCAGGAGAAAAACCTAGGATAATACGCTTGCCCCCACTCTTTCCCACATGCCCACATCCTTCCCACAGCCAAGTCTTTACATGGTCTTCCTGCCTCTCTCTCTGTCCTCCTCATCTACCACTCTCTACCTAGCTCATGCTGTCCTACTCATATGGCCTTCTGGCAGTTCCTTTACCATGCCAGTCACTCCCGTCTCAGAATCCTAGCACTTGTTCGTTTAACACTCATTGCCCCCATCTTCCGCCCCATCTTCACAACT